TGCTGAGCATCTCACGAGATCCGATAGACTGGAAAGGTTTCTTACCTGTCTGACATACTTCAGTAGAAGCAGCTGTCAACACTTAATGTAATCAGTGTTAGGAACTCAGTGGTAAAAGAGACAAAGCAATCCATCTGGTTCCAGGAATAATTTTATAATTGCTGCGGCTCTTCACCAGGGAGTTAGTGAAGCACTGGAACATGTTACCCAAACAGTCTGTGGGATCCCCATCCTTGGCAGTTGTCCAGATTGTACTAGACAAAGCCTGAGCTGGCCCTATCTAGTGTTGCCAATAGATGACCTCTGGAGACCTTTTCCAACCAGAAATTCTGCGATTCTGAATTATTAAGTAATCAGTGGGACTGCTTGCTCTGCTTTTTGTGATATCAGATAAATACGTTGATCTAAACCCGAAATGGTAGCATCTTTTACTACTGTCATTCTTCTCCAAGTGCAGGGTGGCTCACGTGCACAGGGGAGGCCTTGGTTCCCTCCGACACTCCTTTTCCTCTGTACTTTGATGGCACTAACATGCTGAAGTGAAGACACAGTGTAGAACTGTTTCACTTGCATGTGGAACTCTTAGCAGGCTGCCTGATAAATTTAACAAATACAGAATTACGTATCACTAAAAGCTCATAGGATAGAATAAGAGTGTTACAGGTATAGGTGGAAGGACTGGTGGGCATTATAGACGTGCCCACATATTAAGGCACTAGAGCTAATGGATTTGGGGACATAAACCCTGGTTTTGCAGCAAAGCTGTCACCACTGTTACAGCACAGTGAAGTCTACAGGAATGAAAGGAGCCATTTAACAGTCAGGCTGCACCTCGTATCTTTCCCTTAACACAGTCATGTCCCAGCTGCAATGGCACTTGATAACCACAGTTACTCATACATCTACAAGACAAAATTTTTGACAAATTTAGTGTTAAGGCTGCATGGTGGTATCTTACAATCTTCCATGGTGTCAAGTTCAGAAAAAACTTCCATCTTTGGACATATAAAACTCAAGCAATAGGCACGTGCTAACTCAGCTGTAGTGCTATTGCCTTCAAATTCTTAATAACCACAGGAAGTTGTCTGCTCTCTGTGATTGTGTTGAGTGGTGGAAGGAAATCAACAGCGTTGCGATGAACAATTCAATGAGTTCTTTCTATAAGAAGTAGAAGATGAGGCTTCTGGTACGTTAGCTTATCTGTGACCTGGAACGTATGATGAAAAGCAAACCATGATTCGTACCCATTTTCTTCAATACAGCACTCAGTAGGTTGCACGTGTGAGTAGCAAAGCCGGAAGGCCTTTTACTCCCAGGGTTTTAAGCAATAAGCTGAAGCATGACAGTGGTATGAAAGTTGTTGGTACAGGTAGAATTTCATATCAAATCTTGTATGTAAGAGCGGTAAAATTGTGAAATTAGAGGTGTGGCTTTATCTTTATGGATTATGGGTTCTTTTAAAGTATGGTGGGTATAGATAATTGCTGTTCACTACAGTGCACCTAAATGTCCTAATTCAACATAAAAAAGGTCATTAGACTCTTGATCTTCAAAACATTTTTGTGCCCTTTTCCCCCAGAATTCTGCACTGTCTTCAGAAGTGTGAGTGGTTATGGTGTTGGTGCACTGGGTCCTCTGGGACAGAGAGGTGATGGAGGAAAGTATTTTAATCCTGCATTTCTTCTAAGTTTTGCTGAGATCTGTTTGTGCAAGGTCACGAGATCTTTCTAACTGATACAGCACATCAGTAAATGGAAACCTTAATTTAGTTTTTTTTCCTAATATTTGCATCTTCTTAAAATGTAATAGATGTTAACAAAAGCAAAAAAAAAGGTTTTTAAAAAAAGCTAGATTTTCTTGCTAAGGACAGCAATGTCCTCATTCTTGTGTGGGTGTAACAAAGTGAAGAATTAAAAGGAAATAATTTTTTTTTCAGTATTTTAATTAGTTTTCCATATGACTGTCAGAAACCTGTGGTTCTCATACCTGTTGAATCAGGTTTTGAGGCAAGTCAAAGTAGATAAGATGTTGATTTAAAAAAAGAAAAGGAAAACAGGTTTAAAACAACAACAAACAATGCAGATTTTCTTGATATGCCATAAAAAGGGTACGAATTCTTACCTATGTCTCTCATTAAACTCTTCACTATGGCTTTCTGGCACCTTTTTTTTTTTCTTTTTTTTTTTTTGTTCAAGTATGGGCTTTTACAAATTCCAAACTGAAGACAGCATTTTGGCTTGAATTCTGAAAAGGTTTCACATTGTTACCACAGCTGCTCAGTTCAGCTTATTACTTTGTCAATCCTAACTTCATAAAATTAGGAGTGATAGCATCACTTTACATTTGTCTTCCCCATTAGTTGGTTTTGTTGAGCACGTTGAGAATCGACTCTTGCAGTTTAAAAAAATAAGTGTGTTGTGCTTTGGATGAAGACAAAGGCAGCAAACAAGGAGTGACAAGATCTGTAATTCCCTGTGTTCTTACTGGCTCAATGAATTTTAGTGATTTATAAAGAAGTTCCTCTGATGTGTATTATATTCCTCTGATGTGCTTTAGCAGGGGAGTTGGACTAGATGATCTCTAGAGTTCCCTTCCAACTCTGAAAATTCCGTGATTCCGTATTGTGGGTATTTTTCATTCTCGTTGGAAGGGCGGCTTTTTGTGTAATACAGCTTGAACTGCACTTTCTTCTTTTACTCTTGCTACTTGGTTTCTGTCTCTTTGACAGTCCCATAGCCTTGTTTAGCATGCTTTTATTTTCTTCAACGTTGTTCCTTTCAAGGGTACAGAAGATAGTGTTACAGATCTTGATGATGATGTCTTTGGAGCAGTCTACAGAATTCTGCTGTTTCTGTGGACTCCATCTTCATTTGCAATTCATGTTTCTAAGTTGCGTGTTGTCTTTTATTTTTTACAGAGAGTATTTGGTGTTGTGCCATTCTGTTCCCTCTCCACTTTTCTTGTTCTTTCTTTATCCTTTGAGGATGCCTTGGACAGTCATGGTATTAGTGGCATAATTTCTCTCTTTTTCCTCGGAGACAGCATATATATCTTAGTTAAGTAGATTTAGAAGTGCATTATCTAGTTTGCATGAAAGTTGTACTTTGATTTGCATGCGTGCATATGTGAGATACAGTATTTGCATTACAGTTTCTTCATTATTTATCTGTGGCTTCCAGTGTAGAAAATTTTTATTCTGTTTCTAAATAAATTTACAAAACCTGCACGCATATTTTTGCCAGCCGCTTACAGATATTTCTGTGAGTGTGAGAAAGAACACTGGTAAAAGTGTTTTGTTTGGGGCAGGTTTGGCCAGATAGGGCATGAAAAACTGTAGCATTGCAACATCGGACAATGAGAGAGAGACTGATAGAATGGGTGAAATGGTATTGGATTTTAATTTTAGAATACCGTGGGGTTTTTTTTTAATCCTGGTACCATAGGTACCATAATTTTCTTGAGTCAAAAAGAGATTAGAGCAATACCTAATGGGTAAAAGCAACACACCAAAATATGTCTTATGATTCTGGTTGTCATTAAAGAGAATATCAGCCTCACACAACCTCAGCTGGAGTGACAGTTTTGTGTTGGTACTTTTCCTTCTTTGAAAGAAGATGAAAAAGGAAACTACTGGCAATTTTGCTTTTTATTTTATTATTCTTAGTCACCTTACAAGGAGATGCCTCTTATTTAGCATATTACTCTTCAATCATCCGTAATTTTTCTCATGTTGCAGTCATTCTTCAACAAACTAGTAGATGAGAAATTATATGATAGCTTGAAAATGTGACACATATTTCTGCTCAACCACCACTTCTTTCTTCAGATACAAGTCTGCTTTCCAAATACAAATCCGGGGTCAGTCTGGAGAAAAAGACTTTGTTTATGGTCTGTTGTTCCTTAATTTGTATTTAATTCTAGTTTACTTCTACTTTGTTCTTCTGTTTCATCTTTTGCATGAGATGTCCAGAAGTGGGTTCTTTATCATATATAGAACATGCATCCTTGGGGAAGTTTGAAGCATCATTACTTGTTTTCCAGCTTTTAAAACATAGGGGATTTCAGATGACATTATGATGTTTGACATCAAGATATAATGTAAACTAATGATATTACGAAGAATAAGGCTTGTGATGCCTTTGCGTTACCTGGTTGCTAAATTGAGAAATCTAAGTGTGTGTATTTGTTTGATTATTTAGATAAAGGAGCCATAAATCAAATTAGTAAATAATATCAGAGATGGAGGATTGGCCTCCCTAAAGACTGGGAGAGAAGTATATCATTCTCTCCCTTTAGTGTGAAGACTGCGTGGGCAGCAGCAGGGGCAGCTCTGTTTGAGAGGCAGTCCCAGGGCCCTGCGCAAGTGTTTCTTCCTCGTGGAGAAGCTGCATTGTGGAGGCCAACCATTAAATAAATCAGACTGTCTACTGCCCTTTCTTTATTAATGTTAAA